TTAAAATATTTCACAGATATCTTAATGGGACCAGAACAAAAGGTATGTCAAGTTTAAAGTACAACTGTCAACCAACAAATAGGCATGTTACATACTTTGATTCACTTGCTGAAAGTAACATAGTCCAAACTTAATACAAACCTCCTTATTTCTTAGGCTATCAACATATGTATTAAGATTTATCTAGTAACACTATTGCAATTTTTTACTCCCAACTGATCAGACTACAATCCATTACTAAAACTGTGCTGAATGCATACAACCTGTACTGTTCAGCAATCATTTAACTGATTTAGTTTGCTAATATGCTACCAACTGCTCCAAATTTATTATTGGCTAGTATGTTATAATTGGCCCTCTTAATATGGATGCAGCTGAATGGACTAACCCAAGAAATTAATGCACAACATGTATCAGCTCATATTACTTATAAAATGGAGCTTTGTTCAAGACAGCACCCCACTGATAAATTAAATATAGTTACCTCAATACAAGCAAATTAAACATATTATTGTTAAATTTGCAATAATGGTTTCAATATGATCAGTAGATGCTAACTTAATCAAGTTCATCATATATTCAATATTACTTATCCTTACACTTCTTGTATTCTTATTTGATTTTTTTTAATTTGTATTTTTTTTATTTTGTTACAGAACCGAGCCTTACGTTTTATTATGTTACTGTCTAAAGTGTCGAACCTACAATGACATCTCTACAATCCTGTAGGCAATACTTCACAAATTGTTCTAATCTTACGATTATACTTTATTTTCTACACTCTACTTCAAATATCGGCTAATTATATACAAGATATGAGTAAGCTACATTAGCCCTTAGATGCTGGACCAATCAAAGTTGCATACCTTGCATGTTCATTACTGATGGTACTCGCACGTCATGCACTAACCTTACATAAAACTCTTCTAACTGCTTCCTAATTCCGATCAATAGCACTCATCCATATCACTTAGATGTAGTGAATTAATACTCTTCTTGCCTTAGCTTCCACAAAATGCAACACTTGATGTACTCTGCTCTATTAGTTAATCCATCTATGTTTCAAATACTAGTTGCTCAACTATCAATCCAATCACTGGATAATGTAGTCTAATCTTATGTAATTTTTTTTTCCTTGAATCCATAATCATTCCTCAAACTACCAACGTATATTTAACTGTTTTACCAAGGATATTTCTGGTATGAGTTAACACTTGCGCATTAATTAGTTATGTGTCAAATATCCTAAATATAGTTATACTTGTACATCAGCCACTACATACAATACCTGATGACTGGCAGCGTCATTCAGATTACTCCACTAATTTTGCTAATTCGCATATTTTAAAACACCCATTTGCAATTATCTACCAGTCCTCAGGACTATTTGTTTGTAATTTTAGGCTCTCTTATGAAAAGGTCCTTTGTATAATTCCATTTATACTGAAGTGACTATTATTTGGTGTCAAAACCATTATTACTTATCTCATTTAGTATTTGTTACAATATTCATACAATTACAAAGCAGTTGTCAATATTATCTCCTTTTTGATATTGCTTCGAAGTATCAAATGCAGGAACTTTACATCCTGAGCAAGTGCAGATGACTCTGAATTATTATTAAACTTCATGTTAAATTAGGTATGTAATTGTGCTTAAACAAGTTAATGCACTAAATTATTTTTACTGCAGGCAATCAAAATGTATAAAGTTCTTTTTGAAGTAAGCAAGATTCTTTGCTTGTCGATATTAATCAAAGACTT